AAATTTCAATGAACATATGAGAGGATTCAGAAGAAAAGTCTTGCATCAAAATTCGGTGTTTGGTCAATGAACTCTTTATTACAGCTAATAACTGATTTTTTTCTATATCCAGGTGGATGGGGAGATCGCCACAAGGTAAATCCGAAGTTATTGAGACCACTTTTCGATCTCTGGATTTTCAGAATATGGATTCCGGAAAAAGTCAGAAAGTTTCTACGATTTGGGATTGAATGGAGTGAAGATGGCAACGATGATAAGTTTGGAACAAAATCAGAAAAATATAGAACGGTAAGTACTATATAAACTTAAGATAACTATGAATGCAGTTCATATTCAGTATTATACGTGAAAAATTTTTCCAAGGGCTTTGTTGAAACTTTCTTTTTGATAGCGTGAGATCTGTAGTGCAGTCAGCTATCCTATGACTAAATATATGATTCAATTTAATGTCAAATTTCCATTTAAGTAACATCCAGTTTATACATATACCCATGCAAAAGCATTTTCACAGGATTAAAATTGAAAAATGCACTATCTCCTAAAAACATGCACTGAGCTGTAAAAACCTACCCACGGGATGCATTTCTTTTAAAATTGAATATCACTAAACTGATTACGTTCGCACTAAAATGTACTCAAAAATGTAGGAATTAGGAATTTTGGAATAAATGCCATATTTTTTCTTAGAAAGAAACAAGTGGCGTTTATTCAGTACAGATGGATCCTGGCAATGTTTACGCAAACGAATCATTCGTAAATGACAAAAACGCCGTAAAAATGAGCAGTTTGTAAACAGATGACAACGTTTGAAGCTGTTAAATATTTAAACAGGCAGAAGATAACTTTATTTCATGAATATTGTTTTATTAGATTAGCTAAAATTTTCAATTTCCATTTGCATCTCAGTAAAAGTCGTATCGTAATTAAACCTCATCCTTTATTGTTGAATATTTTAGCATTCTCAATATATTATTATAACTTAGTTACAACATTGTGATTCTCGTTTCTCTCTAGAGGTTTTGTGGCCGTATTTCGAATTTTGCGCCTTAATTATAACTAAAAATAAAAAACAAACTTTATGAAATGTTTAAAAATGAATTTAGATCAGAGGACTCGCTATTTATGATTTCAGCATCAGATTTCAATCAGAAACGGAAAATACAAAAAGTACTAGATATATATAGATTCATTTTGTTATGAGATGAGTCTTCTTTGCTCCCACGTGGGTGAGTGTGAGTGTCCTGACATTGAGCAAATTCTTAAAAAAAGTTGCAGGCCTTCATTGTGGCAAGATTAGGTTGATTGACTAAATGTCAGAATTAAAATATTGCGAACAGTACGATGAAACTCAAGAAATGAGATAAACAAAATCATAAGGATAAAACAGGACATCAAAATATAAAAAGCGAGAGGATTTGATTACTTACTTTTGGCAACTCCATGTTATTCAATTATAATTATAACGAGAAATGTGAATAGGTTCAAAGGCAACATCGTTGATATTGTGTGTAACTAACAATGCCCTGCTGGCTATACCCACAGGACTAAAATTGCCGCTGTGCGAATTTACCAAAAACGTCTGATTCTAATATTTAGGCTAGCGTAACAACAACGTAGGCTATTGAGTTGTTGGACATTTCTGAGTAATGTGAATCAGACTTTTGTCTGCTATATGTTTATCACAATATATTTTTACGATTTACAATGAAAAAAAAAATGTGACAAAAAGATTTTGGTTTAATTAAAAACAATTGATGGCATTTTCAATATTTTTGTGTATTAAATCCACTTGCATAGAGATATTTTTATGAGCTAGAGTTCAGGATTGAAATATTGCATTTTAAACAGCTACAAAGGATTCCACGAAGAAGCAAATTAAATACTTGCGGAGAAAAATATTGATTAATATTATTGAGGATGTTCCTGCAATTTTCCAAGTTTGGTATATTTAAACAAACACGCCATTTTGTCTCATTCTTTAAGTGGCCTGTATTGAGAGAATCATTTTTTACTACACAAATCCAAAACATTGCTAAACACAAGCACACAATTCGTGACTCGGGTTTTAGTGACCTATAAAACTGTCGCCGCAGTACAAATTTTGTTATAATGCCTAGCCCTAGTCAAAGTGTAGCTGGACGTTGCTTCGAAACTTGAAAATATCGCGTACATATGTGCTAAAGACCAAAATAGTAATAAAGACTTTCCATTCAACTCAATCGAAAATTCAATTTTGAATTATTTTTCATTTTATATGGAACATTTCGAGTCGTTTTTGAATTCTGAATAAAATCGGTTTAAAATTTTATAAAACTGATATAACTTTTTGTGGCGATTATTTTAAGAATGCGACCTCGGAGCCGAGCTTTATCGCCAGAGGTTGAATTTCATTTGCCATATTGTCTGTAATAAAATGCAACGAAATTGAAAATTGGTGGCTTTTAGTGGCAGTTGTGTGACCGTTTGCCATGTTTGATTTACAGTGGCATATCAATAAACAGTAAATTTTAACAAATGAAAATAACATTTCATCTAAGATGTTCCCGCTACCTTGCCGTAAATATACTTGCTCATAGTTATCCAGTGGAAGGTCGCTACGCTACCCGCGAGGGAAATCATAAGAAATAGTTTAGGAAATAGTAAGGAGCTGACGCACGTTTGATGAAAAATGGATGCGGGAGCGTCGTTGCGCCGGACGACTGGCGAAAATTCGTCCTGCGCGCTGCCCCTGTACCCTTTAGTCCAGGGGTCGGCAAACTGCGGCCCGCGGGCAAAATGCGACCGCGATCAAATTTTTTGTGGCCCGCGAACGTCCGGACTTGAGATGAATGAAACAAAAATTTGATTATAAATTTATTAATGTCTTGACTCGGATATACGTGGTACTGCTGTAAGGCGCTTTTGATAGTAAGTAGCGTCAGTTGTATGTCGTTCACTTGATGTTGGTTGTAATGATAAGTAAAGTTCATTTTGAGTATTTGAAAATAAAAAAACTCCGGGGAATAAAGGCAAATTTGCGATGAGGACGTTCTTGGACAGAAAATCTGTTTCTTCTTGCGCATTTTAAAACCAGTTTGCAAGTCAGTATCACAGTTATTCGATATTGAACGTCATTACGAAACGTGTCATTGCAAATACGAAATTTGACCCCGAGACCAGAGTTTGCGCTACTACTGATCTGCGCGACAGTGCAATGTGCTCGTTCAGGGACACATATTGTTGTGAGCTGCTTTATCTAAAATGCATTACGCTAAGAATAAGTTTCGTGCTGGCTTGTTAGATCGTCATTTAGAGTCAAACAACGCACTGAGGCACAACTAGGTTGCTATTTAATTGCAACGGTTTGGCCATGACACAGAAAAAACATCATCCTGAATATTGATGATAAAAAAATAAAAACAATGTTTTGATTGATAATGTATAATTCAAAAAAGCAACATACACGTCTTACTGTGACACAGAATAGAAGGGGCGTGTGCGCCATAATTTGATGTTTAATGTGGCAATTGTTCGGAGGTAGAAATCAATAAGGCCCGCACGCTACCTGAAATGTATATATGCGACCCGCGAGTACATTAAGTTTGCCGACCACTGCTTTAATCCATGAAGTAGTTTAAATATCACGTCATAAACTTATTCTTTTTAATTACTCTGTATTGCCCAGATATGGCATCTCAATCTATTAACATTCTCGAGATAGGACATAAAATCACCGGAGCGTGACTGAGGGATAGAAGAAAAACAAATTCCGCTTGTAGATGATTTTCCTAGTCATGCCCATGCCTTCAAATTCTTAATAATACCTCTGCAATAAACCAAAATTGCCTGCAATAAACCAAAATTACTGGGGGTAGGGAAAAAAGTCCAAAAACGTTTCAAAATATTTTTCCATCCATGCCCATGTCATTAGATTCTTGATAGGACCTCTCTGCTTGAAAGAATGTGCAAACTGGTAAGTTTTGTAGGAATTGAACTGCCTGATTGTTCAGGTGATGGTGGAATAGAATTGTACCTAGAACAGAAACACGATCTCAGTAGCGTATTCAAGTTGGTTCCAACAATTATATCGTCTTTTCCAATTGACAAAGTTGCCTCAAATCCTAAAGTAAAAGACTTGAGAATGCGTAAATATGTTCTATTGAACTGAATTCAATTATATTTCAACCACGGGTATTGATGAAAAGCTGACATATATAACACAATACAAACTCCGAATTTGTTTCATCAACAAAATATTTGCGAAGCAAATCGAAAATATTACATGTTTTATGTAATATTATATTATACTTACAGTTTTGGTATATACACTGCTTGGTTGCTTTGATACAAATTTTCATATCGACGATGCTCAATTTCAAGTTTGCAAGCAATAAATAGCAATTCAATTGTACGAATTCACAATATTTCCAAATTAATTTTGCGAATCGTGCAATAAATAAAAATATAACCTAACCGTTGGATCAAAGCTCATTGAACTGTATGAGTCAATTTACGTCAAATGCTTTATTACATATTTCAGAGGCTTACAAATTGAAAAATTGTTACAACGACGGCAAAGAGTTCTTCAGAACAACAACGTAATAGCATATATTACAACAAGTTGATAAAAACTGATGTTCGTGTTGGCGGGGCCTTCATGAATAAAATAGTTTATCAAGGTTCTAAAGTAGTACCGAATACAGAAGATTTCTGACCGTAAATGTTTATTAGTAATGCCCAGACTACATGTGAAAAACTTATATATGTGTTGTGTATAACGGCTATTCATTGTGGTTATATAAGGCAGCGTCTCGAAGATCAATTGAAGATGGACATATTTTAATCTGGTGTATATCACTGGTAACATATTGAAGGTACTCTAAAAAGGCTATGATTTCAGACCTGATAAAAAGCTCATATGCACTCGTTATAATTTTGCATTTCAACAACACGACAAATGCAATGTTTTGATTGGCATAGATTTTTACTTTGTTTTGAAAATATCTCACTAAATCTTGAATACAGAAATAAATTGTAATCCACAGATGCCGTTTTAAGAATACTGTAGTAGACATCTGATAAGATAGAAAAATATGTCGGAATCTGGTTTCACCTTCTCTGCGGTCGATTACGTCGTGTTTGGATTGATGTTGCTTTTATCAGTTGCTATCGGAATATATAATGCATATCGTGAACGCAACAGTAATTCTGCTAATGATTATCTGAATGCTACAAAGTAAGAGACAATTTCCATGGTTGAATTTGTTAAAAACAGCAACATATTTAAGAAACTCATTATTTGGAATTTTTTTTTTGATTTTTTTTTCGATTTATTTGATGATAAATGTACTAACTTATATTTATGTAAAGTGTGAATATTATTTGCTCCGCACGAAATGCATTCATCGCGAAGTGCTTATGATATATATTTATATAACAATGAAAAAAAATTGCATATCTGATATAATTTGCTGATATCTATAGACTATTTTAATATATGTAAATATTGTGATAATAGTTGTACTCGAGCATACTGATTTTTAAACATTTCATTTTCCAAATATATTATAATATGTATTTGTTTACGGCAAATAGCAATGGTTGTGTACCGACAGCAAAGGCAAATGATCCTTGTTTTCTAGAGATGATTAGTCAAACACACTTTTGACAAGCAACTATCGGACTGTAGTGTTTTTTTTAAATTTTGAAACTTTGCGACGGGTGCAGTAAAAAGCTAATTCATGGACAAACAATAATTGGAACGCATACTTGAGTGTATCATTTTCCTGTCATTGTTTATTTGTTACATTTCCTATACAGATCCATGTCGATGTTGCCGGTTGCAATATCATTATGTGTTACATATGAATCTGCACTCAATTTACTCTCCACACCCGCAGAAATTTACCTATATGGGTCGATGGCTTCATGGTAAGTTTTATCGGCTGATAGTACAGCAAAACTAGAAGTGATAAAATATAAGCAAGAGTGTACCAAAAATTTGAAGGTTTAAAAGAAATGAATTTCTGAGTACACTTTATTCAGGGGATTGATCGCAACGATAAGTGCTCCAATAATTGCAGCGCACATTTTCATGCCTACTTACTATGCAGCGGGAATCACAAGCGTCTACGATGTGAGTGTGCTAGTTATATTTGTATTCTCATGGCTGATATAACAAACAATAGTTTGATAACTTTGTTTTAGTACTTGAGATTGCGATTCAACAGAGTGACACAAATTTTGGGTACTTTAACGTTTATGTCGGGCGCGCTCGTATATTCTGGAGTCAACATGTATGCACCTGCTATTGCATTTGAAGCAGGTTTGATATTATTTCATGAACTATATACAGATGTTTATGTTATACTATTATGGAAAGTAGGTACTATATTAAGTCACATACATTCATAAGGTAGATGGTATCAAAAAATATATATATTACCCCCCCCCCCCCCCCCCCCCCCCCTCATTACAATCATTCATTTACAAAAATTTCTCCTTCCAGTGTCTGGTTTGAATACTTGGGCAAGTATTCTCGCATGCGGCATTGTTTGCATCCTTTATACAACTTTTGTAAGTATTTTGAACAATTTTATATTTGTTATTACAGCTTTTGACAAGTTGTATTAACTTTAAGTTCTCCTTTGTTGTTTCCTCGAGTTTAAATGGAGAACATTTAATTAAAAGAAAGAGACAAAGCAATGGGTCAAAAACTCACTATATGTAATGGATACGAAAAGTTTTTAAAGTGTTTGGTAGTTGATAGAAAAATATTTACAACTTGACTCCAACAATAATCTAACAGAAGAAACTATTTTTTTTCATCCTAAAATACGATCCCCAAGCATTGATCACTAAGTCAAATCTAAAATATATTTATTTCAGGGTGGATTCAAAGGAATCGTTTGGACGGATGTGTTTCAATCTTTCGTAATTGTAGTTGGTGTCATAGCAGTCGTTACTAGAGGCGTTATGATAAATGAAGGATTTGCAGAAATTTGGAACGCCGCTTATGAAGGAGGAAGAATCGATTTTGTGCAGTAAGTGAACATATGTAATGCTATGGTTACAGTATAATAACTGAAATATCGTAATGCAGCATTTCAGTCATAACAGTTGTGGACCCGTGGACAGTAGATACCGACAGTGGAGATAATATGGTTAGCAGTACTAGGATTCAATCAGGATTGATAATTTATCACATCCTATATATATATATATATATATATAGTGCTAGCACCAAAGCACGTAGCGACCCTATTAAAAACTGCATCTACCGGTGGGTAATTGTCATTTAAGTTTTCTCCAAAGGGCTTGAGTCATCTGAATTAAAAATCATTTAATAATTAATAATAATTTAGGTGTGCGAATCCAATAAACAAATATTTTGCAAATATATTGTTATAATTTTTATTGTTCAAGTTTCGAAACTGATGTTCGGATTCGACATACATTTTGGTCAGTAGTCATAGACTCTCTCATAGTTACAACAGCTTCGTACGGAACGTCTCAACCAGCAGTTCAGAGATTTTTTAGTTGCAAAAGTCTGAAAGATTCACAGATGTAAGTATATTTGCAAAACTCAAAGAGTTTTTGATAAGAGCCTGTTTAGGCCAGTAGTTTAGTAGATTAAAATGCCAAGTACTTTCACATAAAATCTAAAGAGCTTGTGAAATCGGCTCCACGAAGGCAGATTCCTTAGTTGATTAAAGACAGACTACACTAAACTCTTTTTTTAATCATACGCGACTTCGAAATATTTTAACATGGTCCTCTTGGGCTATTTTCTAAATTGATTTACGCTATGAAGGAAACGATAACGAATCAATTAAATAGTGATGAATATTGTAACGACCTTCAGGTTCGATTTAATGTTACTGAGAAAAACAAAATTCATGTAATTTATCTGGTATATGTATAAACAAGAATCCTTTAGCTTCGTGCAATACTAGATACGAATTTAAAGTTAAACATTGACTATAAAGGCCACAAAACGAATAACTGATTGATTGTTGTGCTTGGAACCGGTTTCTCGGTGATTCAATTTAATTGACTATATATTGATCTAATCCAGTGGTCACCAAAGTGTGGGTCGCGACCCCAAGTGGGGTCGTCTTAAATATTTCTGGGGTCGCCGAGTGCCCATCGTTGTCTTTTCTTTTATTATTTTTATTATGTGTGTGACTTCTCGGCTTAACGCTAGATACTTCAAACAAAAGAATGAATAACAAGCACGCAGACAGGTAATATCATGAGCGATTACGATAAATTAATTATGACATCACAATCACAAATTTAGTCCGTGTGAAAAACAGTGTTTCACTGTTAAGTGTCTGCACTGTTAAGTTGAATAACGCTACATAGGCTAGCAAGTTTCGGTATTTCGAATTGAAGTGACTTCTTTTGTAATAAAGCTATTGCGTAACGACAGTATTTACTTTTTAAAGTAAATTGTTATTGTGTCTTAAATGTACTGTACAGTGGCCGTTGCTTTTACTGCAAAGCCTCATTTTCCAGACTACCGTCATATTGATAATTACAATTTATTAAATAGCTGATAAACATAAAAGAAAAATATCGTATGATCAATCTTTTTGAAAGCTTGAGTTTAAGTGCTATGATTCTGCCTAGATCAAAGCACCGAAATCGATTAAACGTAGAACAGATTTGCGTTGCAAGATCTCGTTGGAAGGAAGCAGTCGCATTCTTCACACTGATTAAATAGGGTTGTTATTAGGTTCTTTTAATAAATTTCCTAATTTGATAAATATATTTTTCGTGTCTGTAGGTGAACATATATATATAACTTGGGGTCGCGAGTTCTTATCATACGTAATGAGGTCGTGTATGAAAAAGTTTGAAGACCACTGATCTAATCGAAACAGCATTAATTTATCGTTCCGTTTCTTCATGGTTTTATTAAAATTAAGCTAAAATATATTTAGGACTGCATTGGTAAACATTGTTGGTCATATTATGTTGTATGGAATAGCGTTCCTACTTGCAATCGTTGCTTACGCACATTACAGAGGATGTGATCCGCTTGAGCAAGGATGTATCAGCAAAATTGATCAGGTTTGTACATTTTTTGTTGGAATATAGTGTTATAAACACATATTCTTTCAAAGTGAAATTGAGCATATGCTCGAACTTCGCAACCCACTAAAATACTTGATAATACTGACATTTAAAAACCACCTAATCTAACGGGATTTCAAAAGTTCCATTTAGGCTACTAGGCTATATACAAATTGAAAATTGGTTCTGGAAGCCGAACGTGTAAAATCACTTAATAAAAGTTATTACGCAGATTTTTAAACAACATACCACAATGATGCACGCAAACAGATGAAACAAATTTGAAAAACAACAAACATATTTAAATAAATTCGACTCTTTTAACTCAAAATTAAATTGACTGAAAAGATTTCCAAAAGCATAAAATTCTTAAATTTCTTTCATATCATTGTTCTACAAACAGCTATCGCATATTACTTTCAGCCAAAAATAAAGTAATCATTCTCATTTAATCAGATTATCCCACTGCTTGTGATGGATGTATATCACAACTATTACGGAATACCCGGGTTGTTCCTGGCCTGCATTTTTGCTGCTACCTTAAGGTAAGTCATGCTTTAGTTTCGAAAATAAAAACAATTCCAATGAATACACTCGTGAATTTGAAATCGGAAGCCCGTTTTCAAACTTCTGCAAATTGAGCAGATACCTTCAACTGCGAAGGTATTAATTATGTACCCAATTGTACCATATATATATATATAATGTGTTTTCTGAAGCTTCAGATAGCCCGAGTTTATTTTGTTTTGTAGTACGATTTCATCAACGATGAATGCATTGGCATCAGCAGCAATGGATAATATTGTTACACCTTACACAAAATTTAACGAGCGAACTCAATTTTATGTCTCTAAAGGTAAATGTAACATCGTGTTAATCAAATAGCAATTTACGTCGAGATTAATAAAGTTCTTCTGGTATGGAAAGTGAAAGTTTAAAAAAAAAACAGCGGATAACAAAGCCTAAATTTTAGCACTTTGTTTGTTTTAAATGATGAAGTTCATATTTATGTAAATTCCAAGTAACCTTCAAGGTTGGATGAATTATTTTCAAGTTTTTACATTCAGGAATGGTATTTTTCTTTGGCGTTGTTTGCATCGGGATTGCAGCATTGATGACGAACGCACTTGAAATATATGAAGCAGCACTAAGCTTAATTTCTATCACCATGGGACCATTATTAGGATTATTCACTTTAGGAATGCAATTTCCATTCGCAAACTGGAAGGTATGGTTCAATTACCTAAATGATACTCATTTCTTTATACTATAATGAACCGACATCGTTGTTATTGTGATAGGCACATTCGCAGCAAACAGAACGGTGAGGCCCATTTTCACGAATACTAAAGCAAACAGGATTAAATTGAAAGGAAATATGATAATAATAAGGCATTCAATATCGAAGTCAATTTTATATCAATTAAATATAGAAAGTTGAAATACTCAATATATTTAGTTTCACAAACCCTTGTTTGTAGGGAGCTTCTGGTGGTGTGATCTGTGGTATTGCATCAGGGGCCTGGCTCTATTTAGGAAGGAAAAGCATCACACAGTCGAACGATTTTGTGAGAGCAATGGATGTTACTACAGATCAATGCAATTTCACATGCAACGGAGAAGAGATAGTAACTAACTACACTACTCTTGGTTACTGGACAACACCAGTCGATGCAACTACAATTCCAGAAATTTATGATGAAGATGTCCCGTTCTATACACTGTCTTTTCGATACATCAGCGCTACTGGTTTTATCGGTTGTATAATCAGCGGTTGTATTATTAGTCTTTTAACCGGTAAGTGAAAAATCTTCCATACAGGTAATAGACAAAACGTACTAAATAAATCATATTTGTTTTCTCAAATTTGACAAACCTTGCATCAAAATTCGGTGTTTGGTCAATGAACTCTTTATTACAGCTAATACCTGAAATTTTTCTATATCCAGGTGGATGGAGAGATCGCCACAAAGTAAATCCGAAGTTATTGAGACCACTTTTCGATCTCTGGATTTTCAGAATATGGATTCCGGAAAAAGTCCGAAAGTTTCTACGATTTGGGATTGAATGGAGTGAAGATGGCAACGATGATAAGTTTGGAACAAAATCAGAAAAATATAGAACGGTAAGTACTATATAAACTCTTGATAACTATGAATGCAGTCTATTCAGTATTATACGTGAAATTTTTTTCCGAGGGCTCTGTTGAAACTTTCTTTTTAATAGCGTGAGATCTGTAGTGCAATCAGCTATCCTATGACTAAATATATGATTCAGTTTAATGTCAGATTTCCATTTAAGTAACATCCAGTTTATACATATACCCATGCAAAAGCATCTCCTAAAAACATGCACTGAACTGTAATGGATTTCATTTCTTTTAAAATTGAATATCACTAAACTGATTACGTTCGCACTAAAATGTAGGAATTGGGATATGCTATTTCGGACATGACAGCCTATGCTTTATATAAAAAGGCTCTATGAATTTTGGAATAAATGCCATATCTTTTCCTAGAAGGAAACAAGTGGCGTTTATTCAGTACAGATGGATCCTGGCAATGTCTATGCAAACGAATCATTCGTAGATGACAAAAACGCGGTAAAAATGAGCAGTTTGTAAACAGATGACAACGTTTGAAGCTGTCAAATATTTAAACAGGCAGAAGATAACTTTATTTCATGAATATTGTTTCATTAGATTAGCTAAAATTTTCAATTTCCATCGGCATCTCAGTAAAAGTCGAATCGTAATTAAACCTCATCCTTTATTGTTGAATAATTTAGCATTCTCAATATATTATTATGGTGACCGTACATTTGAACCCACGTACATTTGAACCCATGTGTATATCCACGGGTTTAATCTATATGCGGGTGCTAAAACCCATGGGTTAGGGTTAGTATGAGTTCAACTATAAGGAAAACAAAAAAAATTCCATAGGTGCAATAGCATACAGGTGCAATTGTCATGGGTTCAAATGTACGTGGGTTCAAATGTAATGGAACCTATTATTATAACTTAATTACAACATTGTGATTCTCGTTTCTCTCCGGAGGTTTTGTGGCCGTATTCCGAATTTTGCGCCCTAATTATAACTAAAATAAAAAACAAAATTTATGAAATGTTTAAAAATGAATTTAGATCAGAGGACTCGTTATTTATGATTTCAGCATTTCAATCAGAAACGGAAAATTCAAAAAGTACTGGATATATATAGATTCATTTTGTTATGAGATGAGTCTTCTTTGCTCCCACGTGGGTGAGCGTGAGTGTCCTGACATTGAGCAAATTCTTAAAAAAATTGCAGGCCTTCATTGTGGCAAGATTAGGTTGATTGACTAAATGTGAGAATTAAAATATTGCGAACAGTACGATGAAAAACGAGAAATGAGATAAACAGAATCATAAGGATAAAACAGGACTTCAAAATATAAAAAAAACGAGAGGATTTGATTACTTACTTTTGGCAACTCCATGTTATTCAATTATAATTATAACGAGAAATATGAATAGGTTTGAAGGCAACATTGTTGATATTGCGTGTAACTAGCAACGCCCTGCTGGCTATACCCTACGAATTTACCAAAAACGTCTGACAACGTAGCAACAACGTAGGGCATAGGCTATTGAGTTGTCGGACATTTCTGAGTAATGTGAATCAGACTTTTGTCTGCTATATGTTTATCACAATATATTTTTACGATTCATAATGCAATAACATATGTGACAAAAAGATTTTAGTTTAGTTGTAAACAATTGAGTGCATTTTCAATATTTTTGTATATTAAATCCACTTGCATATTTTTATTATATAGAGATATTTTTGTTAGCTTGAGTTCAGGATTGAAATATTGCATTTTAAACAGCTACAAAGGGTTTCACGAAAAAGCAAATTGAATACTTGCGGAGAAAAATATTGAATAATATTATTGAGGATGTTCCTACAACTTTCCAAGTTTGGTCTATTTAAACAAACACGCCATTTTGTCTCATTCTTTGAGTGGCCTGTATCGAGAGAATCATTTTTACTACACAAATACAAAACATTGTTAAACACAAGCACACAATTCCAGACTCGGGTTTTAGTGACCAATAAAATTGTCGCCGTAGTACGAATCTTGTTATAATGCCTAGCCCTAGTCGAAGTGTAGCTGGACGTTGCTTCGAAACTCGAAAAGATCGTGCACATATTCGCTGAAGACCAAAAATAGTAATGAAGATTTTCCATTCAACTCAATCGAAAATTAAATTTTGAATTATTATTCATTTTATAGATAACATTTCGAGTCGTTTTTGAATTCTGAATAAAATCGGTTTAAAATTTTATAAAACTGATATAACTTTTTGTGGCGATTATTTTAAGAATGCGCCTACAGAGCCGAGCTTTATTGCCAGCGGTTGAATTTGTGTATGCGTGTGTGCAGTTATTTGGATATTTAGTACTCATTCGTTTTGTGAATGTCCTTATTGTAATTAGTCGATCGCGAGCTAATTTTAAGATTTTGGTCGTATGCGATCGAAAGCAGGTTGGCCACCTCTGCTATACACGATGATATACAAATATGACTACTTTTCCTATGGAACCAATAAATACAGTAGCATACTCAAGATTTTTAACAGAAAATTGTGACAGTTTGTAATATACACAACCAGAAAATCTGATTTAATTCATTCAAAGACATGCAATCATTGCTTTATATATACCAGACACGGACAAAAAACGGCCGCGGGCCAAATCCGGCCCATTGGGTGATTCAGCTTTTTAACATTGTGATTATTGTTCATAAAATGTAATTTTTTACGTCACACTCACATGGCCCGCCAGTCTAGGGGGCAAAATTTTTGGCCCCTGGTTCAAAAACCTTGCCCACCCCTGCTTTATTGATATACTGTACAGTGTCAATTGTGTAGTGTTTGACGAAGCTATAAAGGTCTGGTATTTGATGCCTCGGCGGACAAATAGAATTCCAGTTACCAGTATCCACATATAAGTTATGTTTAAAAGATTTTGGTTGAGATCTAAGTATACCGGATATATCAGTGTAATTTAGCCCATGGCGACACAAAATCCGATATCGACAAAAAAGCTGATATTATTGATATTCCGGTAAATCTTTAATCTAAAATATGCGAGAACTATATGACAACACTCTATTATATTGTTCCCTTCTACAGCATTTAAACTACGTACCACCAGAGATGTCCAGAACGATCCAAAATTAATTCGACAAAAACGATTAATTAATTCGAAATAACGAGTCTCATGACAATGTATGTATCCATTTGTTGTCCATTTGCTATATTGGCTGTAATAAAATGCAACGAAATTGAAAATCGCTGGCTTTTAGTGGCAGTTGTGTGACCGAATGCTGTGTTTGATTTACAGTGGCATATCAATAAACAATAAATTATAAAAAATGAAATTTTTTTTTTTATCTGAGAGGTTACTGCTACCTTGCCGTAAATATACTTACTCATAGTTATCCAGCGGAAAGTCGCTGCGCTACCCGTCATGAGGAATAGTTTAAAAAATAGTAAAAAGCTGACGCACGTTTGATGAAGAATGGATGCAGGAGCATCGTTGCGCCGGACGAATGGCGAAAATTCGTCCGGCGCGCTGTCCCTGTACCCTTTAGTCAAGGGGTCGGCAAACTGCAGCCCGCGAACGAATTTTTTGCTACCCGCGAACTTATGATTCATAAAACAAAAATTTGATTAGAAATTTATTAATGTCTCGACTCGGATATACGTGGTACAGGTAATGTTGTAAAGCGCTTTCGGTATTAAGTAGCGTTAGCTGTATGTCGTTCACTTGATGTTGGTTGTAAATATAAGTCGAGTTCTTTTTGAATATTTAAAAATACAAAAACGCCGGAGAATAAAGGAAAATTTGCGATGAGGACTGTTCTCGGACAGAAAATCTGTTTCTTCTTGCGCATTTCAAAACCAGTTTGCAAGTCAGCATCGCAGGTATTTGATATTAAACGTCATTACCAAACGTGTCATTGCAAATACAAAATTTGACCCCGACACTATAGGTTGCCCTACTACTGATCTGCGCGACAGTGCAGTGCATGTGCTCGTTCGGGGACACATATTGTTGTGAGTAGGGCTGGGCATTTTCGAAACACTGGTGTTTCGAAATCGAAACGAAATTTTGCCTTCGAAACGAAACAAAACACACGTTTGTCATAAACAGTGAAATATGATACCATTATTACTCATGGAATTTAATGTATAAAGGACTTGCACGGGTCACGTGACTTTGTTACTGGACGGCAATAAAACAAAAACGTCCATTTGGCTCCTGTCAGTTGCAAGTCGAATTATACGTTTTCAGTTGCAAGTCGGATTATACGTTTCCGTTTTGTTTGGCTGTTGAAAATGGTTATTTCGTATTGTTCCGTTGGCTGTACGTATAGTATAGACAACGAAATGGATCTTCAGTTATATTCCACTGATTTCAAAAGATCCGGAACGTCGCACAATGTGGATATCATCTATTGCCTATTGGCAGAACTGCTTGGTGTCAAGTCCAGAAGCCATCTCACTTGTGTTTCACTGTTTGCGGACAGCACTTCGTTGATGGTGAGTGATAGTGTGCCGTTATCAATTTCTTTAAATATTCACAAGCTCCCTCATTTCAATGGAAAGCAAATGACAAACTACTGTTATTAGTAGGCCTAGGCGTGGGCCTACTTGCAGTTGCAGACTTGACTTGTGTGAGACAGTAAGGAATTAATAATCAATTGCTATAAGGTATTGTTTCCCTAATTAGCAGGTAATCTATTACTAAGTGTGAAAGGTTGAATAGATAATTAAAGTTTAACACCAGTGGTCATGCAAAAATTAACCAGAATTCAATTGAATTCGCTATCCAGGAATACGCTCCCCACCGCATCTCTGATCACCCTGGTAGTTTCACAGGTTTCAATCCCAGAGAGGATTGCAGCTCTACTCCTACCGAGGGTGGTTCACATGACCGCTGATCAGTTACGACCACTCTCCACCATCCAAGTCCATGCTTCTGAAAACAAATAACTGGCTCCCCACCAGATAAATCCTATCCTATTGGTGCTTGTACAACTGATCCAAAATGTCTTTTTATTGTCATTGGTAAAAAAGATATGCTACCCGGAATCAAATTCATTTACGACTAGTGGCTGTGGTGGGATATGGACCTAAATTTCACACTCCTTGATCGTTAGATTTTATGAAAACTCTATCTGTATCCATTATCTTACAGATATGGGTGCGACCATGGAATAGATGGATGTATAAGTTGCAACGAGACCACAGTAGCACAAGACCTCAGCTTGCGTGACTTGATAACACATCCTCAGTATCCATTTATTGATGCTTATCGTAATGACAAAGTAACTTGTGATTACTGTGGATTGGTGGAGATAAAGTGTCCATTGTGGTTTAACGAAAGCAACTTCAAGACGACCCTATCAAGAAAAAAAAATTGTTTCGGTGGGTCTGGTAGTGAAGGTTTCAGTCTAAAGTTGGACACCGATACTACAACCAGATACAGTTGCCAATGAAACTTAGCGATGCGTAATATTGCGACTTTGTGATCTGAAAGGAAATTCTGATTGGTAGCCGGCTAGCCGCAACCTTTTGTTTGAAGAATATTATGAGATATGACTTAACCCTTTATTGCATGGCGGGTCAAATTTGGCAGTGTCTAAAGTGTCTAAACTTTTATTTGAGAGGGGTGTAACCCAAGCTAATTTGCAAATGGTATTCATGGTATCAAATATATCAAACACTTTTCAGTAATTATAAATTATATTTGAAAAATAAAGCACATCAAAAATGTATTTTTAAAAAACAATTGGTTTTATCTGCAGATACTAGATTGATATTGAGATTGACCATTTCAA